CGGTGAAGGTGCTTGTCCTGCAGGGTCCTGCGGCGGGGAGGGGGACGGGGCTGAGCAAGGGGGAGGCTGCCCAGGGGATGCACAGGGATGGTGCCCCCAGCCCCACCCACCGGTGCCTCCCCCCGGGACCCCAAACCTCACCTGCCCATGGCCTTGTAGCTCCCCGGCAGCAGAAGAGCTGGGAAAAGGGAGCAGAGAGGTGGCAGGGAGTGAGACAGGGTGTTTGGGGGACAGGTCCCACACTCGCCACCCCAGGAGGTAGCCACGGGCTGGAGGCCAGGAGGGCACAGAGCCTGGGGGCATCCCAGCCCCACCAAAACCCCCCTGGAGGAAAAGCTGCTGATGGTGGCTGTGCTCCTGGGTCTGCTCCTGCCTGTCCCCAGCCCCCCTGCCTCCACCAGGGCAGCTGTGCCCATGGGGTGACAGTGACACCGCGGGAGGGGACACCCTGGCGTGCCCAGGGGTGGCTGGTACCTTCAGCTCCCAGGGTCAGGTCATCCTCGAAGCTGGTCCCATTGCTCCCACACCCTGGGAGAGAGATCAAAGCATTTCAAGGCACAGGGACACCCAGCGCTGGGGACAGTGCCAACTCCCACGCAGCAGCATTGGTCTTGGGGGTCCCCTCTGCCCATCGCCCTGCACCTCGGGCACAGCCCGGGGGCTGGGGGAGCTTTGGGGATGTGCAGGGACCACCAGCCTGAGCACCCCAGGAGCTGACGTACCGTAGGGGCCCGGCAAGCCCAGCTCCTCCGGCAGGACCTCCACCGACGACCTGTGCCAGGGCAAAACCCCCGTTACAGCCGTCCCCGTCCCCATCCCGGGGGACAGGAGACCGGAGTGCAGTGGGATGGGTGGGGGGGACAGGGTCACAGATAATGAGGTGCAGGGTGAGACCAAGGAGACGGCGGCTGGGCTTGCAGGCAATGGGTGCACCACGGTGGGATGCTCGGGAGGGGGGTCCCCTCGGCAGACCCCCATCCCAGGGTCCCCAGACCCCCCGGAGACCCCCCCCAGTGCAGTGCAGGGGGAGGATGCCACCACCCTGCTCTCCCAGCCCGGTTGGGGGTTTCCCAGAGGCACCCGCGTGATGCCAAGTGTGGGACCAGCACCCTGTGCCGGTGGCCCCGGCGTGTGGCAGAGCCATGGCCCGGGTGCCAC